TGTATCAAAAGTCTTATGCCTTTTGTCTTCAGGCAAGGTGGAAGACTTTCGAAATGTCGTCCTCTACATTTGTAAGCAGTTGCTGTCCATTTGAAACTTAGATTCATTATGAATACTCTGCCTAAACAACCTATCAAAGATTACATAATTGTGTTGTTTAATCCTACTCGGCCCGGCATGACCTGGTGGTTAGGGTACTTGACTGGCAACTTGTGGGTCGTAGGTTTGAATCCCTGTCCCACCAAACAAGCACGCTCTTTCAGCCATGGGGGCATTATAATGTGATAGTCAGTCCTACTATTTGTTGGTAAAATAGTAGTCCAACAGGTGGTGTTGACTAGCTGCCTTTCCTCTAGTCTGTTACTGCTAAATTAGGGACAGCTGGTGCTGATAGCCTTTGTGCAATTTTGCAGAAAATTCAGAACAAACAAACGTAATCTTAAGCAACTATTTTCTTGTACTTTGATGATCTTAGGTTAAACTAGGGTTTTTTAATTTTATTTTTCTCCACTATTAAATTTGTTATTTTTGAGTTCTTTGTATTTCTTTTTACACTAATTTTGATGACAATCTCTAGCCATAGACATGGTTTCTTCAAAGTCCTGGATCGTAAATGAACCCCAGGTTGTAAAAACACAAGAAGATGCTGGTCTTGAGGTTGGATTGGAAGCTTATGTTTTTGAAACTGTGATAAGTAATACGGGATTAAATATTACATTATCTTCTACACAATCAGGTAAGAAATACTTACACGAGCTGTAATGACTAATTTTGTATGTGTCCACATTTTACTTAAACATTTTATAATTTGGCATTGAAATGGCATAAAAGAAGATTGAGACTCTAGGCTGCTGATGATGTAATTTAAAAAATAATTTATGTAATGATGATTGATGAAGTATTGGGTTTGCATGTAAAAGAATTTCAGTCATTTGATTATATGAACTGTAATTAAATCAGTTTTAATATATTGTGATCGTTCTTTGTATATGTAAAAATTAATACAGGAACCATTAGGTTGAAATCAACAAACTTTATATAGTTATTAAACAAATCCTTTATGTGTATTATAATTGTTAAAATTAGTATTTTGTAAAAAAATTTAAGTAATAATGAAACAAATTCTGAGATATGTACACACTTTTTTTATGTTCTCTGTTTAATCAGAGCTACATTGTATGTATATTTCTCTTTCCTTACCAACATTATTGCAATGGACAGAGTTAAAGTAAGAATCTTTTCTCTTTGCTAATGTTCATTATGTATGAATTATAACTTGTATTTATATATTTAAGTGTTTATTGAAGGTATTGATGATTCTGCCATGAATTTTTTTTTTTTTTTTGTGGGTGTATGTGAAGTTATTTGTCATTTCATATATGACTTGTAGAAAAGACTTGAGTTAAAAGTCTTATTGACACGACTCTGTGGTAGTGATGTATGAACTATGATGTTGCTACCGAGCCAACTTCTGGATCTTGGCTAACACCAGATGGCATTCATAATTTTCTCTGAATCTTTTAATATTCTTTACTGTTCTCATTTTATAACATGTCTTAGTGTTAGGTTGTTAATCACTAACTTGTCAGATCCAGTCAATTTTTTGATCATCTCTTGTGCTATATGTATTTTTGGAGATATACATTGTATATTTAAGTAATGTTGACTTCATAACGGATATCAATAACATTTTGGTTAATTATTTATATTTGTCAAATATATTTTACTTACTAGTTGCATTGCTATTATACTTTTATTTGCATTGGTGAATTAAAAATAACACTTGAGATTAAAATATATTAATTATTTTTTAACTCTGGTAAAAAGTTTAAAACAAAAATATGTGATACTTAATCCCTTAAAAAAACATTTAGGTACCTAACTTGTCCTTTGGGGAAAAGGGGGCTGGGAGGTTCAAGCCTTTGAAAAACCAAAAACCAACTAACTAGCATGCAACTTAGTAAACCTCTTAATAATGAGATTACTCTTCTGCTAAGGTTGGATATGTGAGTTTGTTATTTGTTTGGAGGGATACGTCTGTCAGAGAAACTGAAGGTTAGGGCAAGACTTCTCATTGAAAAATGTGTTTTGAAATTATGCCATTTTTTCAACAATGATTTTAGTTGTTATATATATAAACCTATTGAAATTTTTCATTAACCGGTTCTTTACAGCCTGTTCTTTCATAAATAGCTGCTTGACAATTCAAGAAAACAATTCATTGTTATTACTTAATATTTGTTATAAATATTAGAATTAGAACTTTGTATGTTATCTATCTACCCTATGACTGCGGTTATATATTGCACAAGCTGTAGTTAATAAGTACTATTGAGTTGTATTTCACTTATGAAGTCACAGTTCTGAGGGCACCATACAAACTGTGCCCTAAATCCTCAAGTCTTTAATCTGGCCCCGAAGTAACCTATTTTATAATACGGTGATGTATTTTGCTTGGATTTTCATGATCGCTAAACAACCACTGGTTGGAATGGTACCATTCTTCGTTTGTTAGCTTTTGGTTGATTCATCTGTCAGAGAAACAGCAGGGTTTTGTGTTTTACATTTACTCATTTGTGTACGTGTTTTTTTCCTGTAACTTGTTAAAAAAAATTATATTATTGAGTTCTAAGTTCTTTGTAGAAACTCAAAAGTATGTTATAATTGAAATTGTAATTATATAGGCAAATTTTTAATGTACATAAAATGCACACATATTATTTTCATTATATAGTTTTAAAACCATGTGATTTCATGTAATTAACTATTTCTGGAATGTACTTTTAAGAAACAACTAATTTAAAAGACTTTAGTATATGCTGTTGTTTTTGTTGGAATGACTTAAAGTAGTGTTTGAATTCTCTATATGGAATGTGTGATATAAATCATAAGAAGTTAAATGTTACACAACTAAAAGTAGTGTGTTTGCTAGAGATGATACTAATTAACAAATCTGGGCTCTACCAGGATTAATACAGTCTGCATCTGTGAAACACTCCTGATTAATCTGTTACAATTCAGGTTTAATTTTTGAGACTTTTAAAGGTTTATGCATTTAATCTTTAATGTGTTGTACACACACACATTCTAATGTAAAGAATTATGAAATACAATTATTATAGTTGTGATTTAAATTACCCTGTTGGGATCACGGGGCCAATACTAAACTTAAACTAGTTGTTTGCTACTGAATTTATGTCATGACTAATGAATTTCAATCTCCGCTAGTCAAATCTTGTAACTTACAATTCTTTGAGATAAACATATATTCTCACATGCACGTGTATGTATGTATTTTCTTTTCCCCAGATGTCAAAGGATTCCTTATTTTAATGCAACAAAAATCATCTAATTACACCAGTATGAGGATCTTCGACTTCAGGAACACTACTGTTAAAAGCAAGGTAAGAAAATCTTTTTAAAGTTGCACAAAGAGCAAGATTTTTAATTCCTGAAATAGCCATGTGTGCAAGAACACTAGCAAGTATAAAATATGGCATCTAGAGGTAAAACATTAAGCCTTCTCACCTACTGCAGAAGTGCTGAAACCAGACTTTTGTTTATATATATATAAATAGGATTTAATAACCCACATTTTTATATTTGATTAGAAAGCTTGCTTCTTTGCTCTATAAATTTTTTTAAATTGTTTCTGGCATCCTTACTAAAACTAAGAAGAATTTCAGTTAATACTGCCTTTGTGCTTATACAGTAGTAATAATAAATAAATATTTTTCGTTGTTACTAATAGAAGGTTTTTCAAGTACTGTGAGTGTTGAGTTGCATTATAAGACAGGCTTAACTTCTCCTTCTGTGTTTTAAGTTCCTGATCATTACACTGCCACTACTACTAATACTTATTTCATGCAGTTAAAAGTGACCTCTTGTGTTCTTGCAGGTTTCGTTGTATTATGACTGCTACGTCTATCTTACGGGAGGTGGGGACAGTAGCTACCGTTTACAGATTCGGTCGTTACCTCTCCACAGAGTTCTGGATTATGCAATCACACTCCCTAATCCCAACACTATAAGTGAGTTTATAATTTGTTTCATCATTTGCCTTTAGTATCCCTTTTTGAAATGTTGTTCTATATCATGTACGTTTTAAATAACTAGCTAAAAAAATATACTATAGTACGGACACATTTCAAAAGTACAAAGTTGTTAGTGCTGGAATTGAGAAAGAGTGGTGGCAGTTGCCACTCCCATTGTTAAATGAATTTTATCCTTCTTATTAAGAGAATTGTGCAATGTTGGGGGGACCTTTTAAGAGTGAGACTTCACTGACCAACTTTGTCATATGTGTATAGTTTAACTGATTCTTCCTGTACCAAATATTATCTCAAGCCTCCTTCATTATGAAATTTTTCTTGTTAAGTAGTTATAATTCAAGCACTCTGATTATTGACTGAAGTCATTAGAACACCATGATATCAAACTTGATAAACTCTTTAACCAATGGGATCAAACTTGATAAACTCTTTAACCAATGGGATCGAACGTATTCAAAATTGAAGATGATTGATTATGTGTATGAGTTAGCATCCATCACCCAGAGTTTGGCTGGCTGGATTGCCATAAATTTTGGTATGGTAACTAAAAAATGTCCAATGATGTACTTGGGCTAATTTCTTTTTGGATTTTTGCTCAAAGAGGTAGATGAAAAAGATCTTGAAACAGGGCACATTTCTACTTTTTTTTAATATATACTTTTGGTTTTGAATTTAAAGATACAAGTACTTAAAAAGTTCAATGAGTAAGTTATTTCCTTCCACAAAGTATAGTATGCAGTTAGCATCTAACGACAACATTAAGGATTGAATAACAAAATCAAGGAAGGGGAACATTATCTAACGTTGTTTTTGTATATAGATTTTGCTTCTATAATGGACATCTTCAGCTAATATGTTAAACAGGACTTCTTCTGGAAATTGTTTTTTATTCTGTTATGAGCTGGAAGTTTTTTTTTTGTTTTTTTTGTGGCCATCTTCAATTATCAGGATACAGTATGGAATGATGGATGTTAAAAACGTAAAATAATTGGTAACGTTTGTCAGCAGTATTTATTGAAAATATAGAAATGTTTGGAAAGTAATTTGATAATTACTTAATAATTTAATACATCTATATATATATATCCTATTGTTTTAACTGAAGACAGTTGTTCAGCTGTGGTTTAATACTTTAATATTTACAGAAATATAAATTTTATACATCCTTACACTTTATGTAGTAGAGGCAAAAAGTTTATTACAAAGAAAAACGTATATTGCTAAAGGATTATAAAGGTGAGCTTACCAGTGCTTATAAATCAAAAGTTTGATACTAATCTTC